TACTAGTTTTAGATCTAGATCTATAGCCATCGTTTCTACATAATAATATTGTAGTTTTGCCTGAATTGTGGTAGCTTTCTCAGTTTCTTGATAAACCTCCTAGGATTTGACACCTTTTTTATGAAGTTGTCTTATTCCAATCAATATTGGGTAGATCTAGATTTAGATCTCGATTAGATCTAACAATTGTTTCTGACATTGTTTGCACAAAAGTAGACTAGACGTAGTCTCATAATCATAGTCATTTGAGTTTGAGATTGAGCAAGTAAGTCGAAAGACGCTTGGATAACAATAACAAAGGATGCCATTCGGTATAAGCCGTATTTTCTGTCTGCAGTGTCGTTGTACAATAGATCTAGAGCTTCCTAAAAATATTATCTTTAAGTTATCCCTAGAGAACGTTACAAGCTGTCTACATTCTGTAAGTCTAATGTTCAGTGCCTCCAAGCGTGGCATCGAATCCCGGTTCCAGTTTTTTTAATAAAAAAAAAAAAAAGACTCACAGACCAAGACCGCCAGGCCTAAAATCCCTAAATTGGTAAAAGGAAAAGCATAGACTATACTAAATTAGGCCTTCCTTGTAAAGAGGTCCTCTTGGGGACAAAACCAGAATGGGTATGCTTCATCTCTAGGCCTAGGCTACATAAAAAACTACAAAGCAACAAGTTATAATTACGGGAAGAATTTGTTGGTCAGTCGAGAAGAGGACAACAGCAACCAAAAAAAAACAACCCTTCCAGGACCGGGATTTGAGCCCACGTTCATAAAATAAAGGTTTGGCTTCAAGCGCAGACGCGCTGTCCATTTGGCCATCAGAACTTCTGACAACAAAATGTAGATTAAGTTTATAATTTTACACGCGACGACCAGGGTTGGGTTGATTTAAATCAGGTTGATTTAAATCAGTCGATTTTTTTTATTTAAATCAACTTGATTCTTTTAATAAAAATCAGTGATTTCCCCCCTGTCACTGTAAAATAATACAGTTCTCAATTTACTTTTTTTTCATAATTGAAAACCAGGGTTGGGTTGATTTAAATCGGGTCGATTTAAATCAGTTGATTTTTTTATATTTAAATCAACTTGATTTTAAAAATAAAACTCAGTGATTTAAATCACTTTAAAAAAATGTTTTCTGTTTTTACATCTTTAAACGTTCAGAATTCCTTTCCTTGGTTTTATAAAACAGATATAAGGTTTAGTAGACTAAAATTGCTTAAAAGTGTGCTTTCCCCCCCTGTCACTGTAAGTAGTAAAATAATACAGTATTCAATTTACTTTTTTTCATAATTGAAATTAGCATTTTCTTTTTCTTTTTAGACAAACACAAGTGCGTGCTCACACACACACTGTAATAAAAATAAAATGCAAGTTTATCTATGCATAATTACCCCCCCCCCCCCCCCTTCCTTTTAGACTGACATTTTCTTCATTTTTTGTCTCTAGCCATAATTCACTGATATAGCAAATTAAGGCTTTCTTTTGCAGTTGCTTAAATTAATCATTAGTTAAAATAAAGACAATGCATTTCGCACTAAAAGAACATACTTTTAGCCACCAAAAATCCCAAACTGTGTTGACATTTTTTTTAAAATATAAAAAATAAAAAAAATCCGATTTAAATAAAAAAAATCTGATTTAAATTTAAAAAATCGATTTTTAAAATTTTAATTTAAAAAATCAAAAAAATCACCGACCCTGACGACGACACAGCGTTTTATTTAGCTCTGGCGCTAATCGCAACGCTGCGTTTTATTTAGCACTGGCGCCAATGGCAATGCGGCGTTGCAAATAGGCACTTCCTAAATTATTAATAATTTAATATTATTAAATGTGTGTGGCATGGAGAAAGATCCTAGTTATTTGAAATTTTGAATAGTGAAATAAGTAATCAATAAGGCATAAGGACATTTGTAACATAGATCTAGTAACAAATTCGATGGTGAACATGCTGATTAAAATTTTTTTTCAAATATCTTTAATAGTTTTAAAGATATGCCACATTTGATAACACATGGTGTAAAAACAAAGTTTGGAGAAACACCGCTTTGCCTTTGTATTTATGTTGACCCAATTTCTAGCACATTTTAAACCTTTGACTTTGGTGAAGTACATGTTGCAAAAATAATTAACCCCTTCATTGCCTTTAAATGGCATACCTGGCATGTCATGAAAATGCAAAATTTTTAGCGCTGTGCTGTACCATGTACGTCACAGAAGTTGGCAAATATTTGCCGCTCCTGGTTGCCTATATATATGTTACGTTACATGTATGGAACTCTTATAACCTGGCTCTAATTCTTCTTTACGGAGTTTTAGCCACAAGGGCTGTGTAGATTTGTATTCGAAATCAAAGACGCGCATATCGGTACCAAATTTACTAGTATTACTTTACTGTCAAGCTTGCTAGCGATCGATAAACACAGATCTAGGCTTGCGGGCAGCCGCATGCTCATGTAGAACATAATAAAAAGCATCGAAGTCTTTTTAAAAAGGCAAATAGGTTCACTTTTTTACTTAGATTTGCAGGTTATTTGAAATTATGAGTAAGATGGGAGGAAATGGGGAAAAAGAATAGTGAGACAAGCAAGACAATCGAAGACCCGGTGTCCAAATATGTCATGGGTGCACTAGATCTAGACCATGCGTCCATTAACACTGAGACATTAGGCTGCTTCTCTGGGTAACGAGCTCAGTTGAAAACAAGTCCTGACATTAGGAACACGTACCCCTTGGCAACGAAAGGGTTTATATTTTTAAAAAATTAGATTTGAAGTATTGCAAAATCCTTTCAATTGAACATGTTATTTAGAAAGGGTTGAATGTGTGTTTTCTAATGGAATTAAATTTTTGACCAGGTACGACTTTTTTGGCCTTTTCAGAAAAACCCATTAATCAAAAACAGCTTTGCAAGCAACTGGGACCTTTCTCCAGGCACATAAACAATTAATTATCAATGATATTTAACTGATATAAAAATATAAATACAGATTAGAGTATTTTAAATTTTGATTTCACTTGGCTTTTGGTTTAGGTTTGGCTATATTCTCCTTCAACTGATGCATGTATGCTCGAGATGAGTAAAAATGCCCTCTATATTATTAGTCTAGTGCTTTTACCTTTCTTTGAAGAGAAGATTAATTATAAGACACTCACATCAATACATTTGCTCATGCAGATCGGACAACTTATTGCTTTGCCATTTACATATAAATTCATCATTATATTATATATATAATGTGAGGCATCATGGTGAAATGAGGCACTCGTCAAAATAATGAAATCAGAGAAATTGGCTCTTTTCCACCAGTCTGGCAAGTTTTATTGAAATTTTAACTTTTGCTTCAACACCTTTATTGTCTATGTAAAAATATATTTCTGCATGGATTTTACTGAAAAACGCTGATTAAAGATACAGAAAATCTAAATTTTTAGTTTACAAGGGCTCTCAAGCTATGGAAATCACCAGACTTTGGTGGTCATTTTCTCGCTAATTTACCTCTGAAATCAGGCAACCCCCAACCTCCTTCAATTGCAAATATCTCAACTTCTATTCGCGATGGATGGGCATTTTTTTTTTCATTGCAAGATAGACAAATGAAGGAGCTTGAAGATGACACCGAAAAACTCCACATGCCCAAAAATTGACAGGTGCCTGATTCCACAGTTTAGTGACACATAAAACGTTTTTAGTAGAAATGTTTTTCCTATAGTTGAGGTTGATATTAAAAGTCTACATGCAAACACCCCCACGTTTTGGCAAAGGCTCAAATAGCAGTAAGTAGTCACTGATCCCATAATCCACGAGGATCGTAGGGGCGCTGTATGATAGAGAGCCTCGTCAGTTGCCTACACTTTTTTTCACTTTTTTTTTTGTGGGCGCCTGAGTTTGGGCGAAGGATTTCCCTGTCCACTCCGCAATGTTGTCAGTCCACCTCTTTCTTTGCCTTCCTCTCCTTCTCCTCCCCTGCACAGTTCCCTGAAGAATGGTCTTGGATTGGCCATATGATACAGCAGTCTTGTAGTAAAGTCAGCAATCTTCCAGATAGGAAAGTTTTATTCACATTTACTGGAATCATGTCTTTAGGATTAGGGACAGGCCTGAAACCGTAACCTTACCCTAGATTCAGGTAGTAGGGTCAGGATCAGGGTCTTGTGAAGGCTCTAGTTTTCAAGTGCAATAAAGTGAGCTTGAATGAAAAATATTATTCAATTATGTCTAAGTTTTGAAATTTTGATCCCTGTTGGGCCCTTAATACACTGCATTGTTGTGAATTTCTGTCACCGATATTCTAAGAGCAAAATGAGTCTGACAATTTTTAACTATTTAATTAACTGATCACTTATTTAGAGAGGCATAATGAAGAGGGAAGGTGGTTTCAAGCCTATAATTTCCTTTTTGAATGGTTGTGTGGCCTTTGAGCGCAAACATCAGTTTGTTTACAATTAAAGTGAATTTATTTTAAAATGTCAGAGTAGACCTAGCGTGAGTGCTGCTTTACACTGCATGACAAGGATTCAGGTGATGAATGTGCTAGATGTAATGGTTTTCAGATTTTAATTCTTTTTTTGTAACCTATTGTCACGTTCAATTTTAGCAATGTGCTGAAAATTTCCTACTGATTGGGGTGTTTTTGCCAAGACACAGGTACAGTGCTGGTGTATGGGAACAAAGGTTTTGTGCTCTCTTTGCTGGCTGGGTGGAAAGTGTTAAGTAGGTGCCAGTTGTTGAATTTGAAAAGATGGATCTTTTCACATGCACCCCATTTCGATGGTGCTCAGGGCATATGTGCCTTACTCACCACATTCTTTGTAGTTTCTGTCGTCAGAGAGCACTATTGAAGTTATAAAAAGTTCAGTTTTTCGTGGCTAAATAACTTGGTGCAGTGTAATACAAGAGAGTTGCATAACCGTTTTTCATTTTATGGTCAAATTTATTAATGTAAATGAAATTATATATTGTTGCTCTTGATAATTTTTATCTTTTTTTTTCCCGACAGGTATTCAAACTGTGTCTCAACTCTGACAAAGATGAGTGTAGTGAAGGTGAAGAAACACCTCATACTGGAGGAGAAGATACAGGCGATCGACATGAGTGAACAGGGGGCATCTCATATTGCCATTGCTAAATACTTTGATGTGTCAAAGACACAAATCTCTAACTTAATGAAAAGAAAAGAAGAGGTTAGAGCAATTTGGAATGATGGCTGTGTCCATCAGAAGAAAATTCTAAAACCATCATTGAGGCACCCAGAGGTTGAAGAGGTCGTAGTAAAGTGGTTATTACAAGCGAGGAAAAATGGCATTCATGTGAAGAGAGAATTTTTGCAGGCTAAAGTTATTGCTGTGGCCTCTGAATATGGAGTTCCGTTTTCTCCCAGCAATGGCTGGATACATAGTTTTAAAAAGCGACATCATTTATATACTGGAGAGAATTTAGATGAGTCTTTGTTCAATGATAGTACGGACATGAAAGTGGAGCGAGAAAAAGATGGAGACTCGTCTAAAGATGATGAGACCTTTAATTGTTCACAACATAATATCACAAAGAATGAGCAAATGCTGTCTGGATTAAGGAACACAGAAGGGGCAAAGTCCACAGAAAAACTGCCAACCGGTGACTTACGAAAAGGTCTACTGAAAAAAAGGAAAAGATCTAGTGAACCCGGCAGTGGATTAGACAAGCAGCATAAATCTAGTGAACCCGGCAATGGATTAGACAAGCAGCATAAATCTAGTGAACCCGGCAATGGATTAGACAAGCAGCATAAATCTAGTGAACCCGGCAGTGGATTAGACAAGCAGCATAAATCGACGAAGATAATGGCAAGGGATTTACAACATTTTGCAATGGGAGGAGCTCAGGCTGAAGGAGATGAAAGGCCTGCAGCATTCGATGTTGAGGACAGTTATGAGCTGGAAAATGTGTTTGTTTGTCTTGGTGCAGGACTTTTTTTTAAAGCTCGTCCAAGGCCTGTTTATCTTCAGAAGAAAAAGCAGTGTGCAGATGGCCGGCAGGCAGACCAACGCATCTCAATGGTACTCATGTGCAGCGGAGTTGGAGAGAAATTCTCTCCTCTTATAGTAGGACGCTGTCAAACTTTATCCCTCTCACCGGGTCTTTTACCGGTCAAATTTATGCCTGAGTATGCAGCTCACAGTAAATCATGGCTCACACAGAGTATCTTTAAGAACTATTTGTCTCGACTTAACGAAAAGTTGTCACACGAGGAAAGACACATAGTGTTACTGTTGCATCCAGGTGTCCCTGCTTTGGGTACTTCTTATAGCCACATCAAGACTTTGCCTATCAATAGTTCTTCAGCAGGGATTTTCTACACAGATATTGTTCACCCTCTAAAAGTTTGCTATCGCAAGAAGTTTCTGAGACACTTACTGAGCTTGAAATACCAGTCAGTCTCAACTTCTGATCTTGCCAAGCAGGTAATGTTTTGGCTTCTCGTATTTCGTCAGAATTAAATTAAACTAGGAAGTTACAGTAGAGTCCGTGTATGATGTACTTAGTTGTGATGAATTTGAAGTTTTGTGTAAGATAAATTGTAATATTTCTCATGATTCTCTCCCTTTTGTAGGCTTTGTATTTGAAGTCAAGATAGCATGAAAATTAATGGGTATAAAGTTTGCTTTTAAAGTGAGTTAATTAGTCAACGCCACAATTCTAAAAGGAAATCTTGATTTATTTTAAATAAAGCCCACAAAATTGCACGAAAAAATTTGCTAATTTTCATAAGGATCAGCTTTCAGCCGAGCCGTCATCTCCTGCAGTGCATAATTTGTTGGTTATTCTTGGCTGTTTACACATATCTTCTGTTTAATTTAAGTGGGGTAATTTATGTTGTGCTTCCTAATCATAACTCTATGTATTATTGTTCTACTTTTGTTGTTTCTGGGGTATTTTTTCCTTTGAGAACGGTATAGAGGCAAACCAAATCCCACCCGGGGGGCTCTCGTGGCCTAGAGGTTAAGGTGTTGGCCTCTCATTCAAAGGTCCCTGGTTCGAATCCGGGCAGCGACCGAAAAATTTTCTTCTCTAAAATTGTCTCCATTTACCTCCTTTCCTGCTCTCTAGCAATGTTCTGTTGTCTGCTTTCATTTCCTCTTCCTGCCCCCACCCCCTCACCTCCTATGCCCCCTCCTCTGGGCTCCTGACTCTTTCTGCAGCCTTTCTACTGCTACTCCTTGGCTCCTCCTTACTGCTGTCTTTCTGCCACACCCCTGATCTTCTGGTAGGAAAGATCTACACCTAGCCTTCTCGGACAAGGGCGAAAAATCTCGGAGGGCCCGTGTGCAAGTTGCGCACGTTAAAGATCCCTTGGTGGTCTAAAATCGATAAGAGTAGGCTTCGGCCGCCACCCGGGCAAAAATTCAAAATTTCCTACCAACTGAAAATATTAGGTGTGTCCCGCGCGCTCATATGACCTATGCAGTTGCGAGCGCCGTAAAACACTTTACAAAACAAACAACAAATCCCACCCAGATTACCACACTTATGTATAAAAACAAGGCTCGGTTGTGAGTACCTTTCTTTTTATTTTTTTAAAAAGTGTACTACGAAATCGGGTCCTTGCAAGGAGGCAGTCATAAACAGAAATGTTTACTGGAAGCTGGGAAAGATCTTTGTTTTAAAGTTTCCCTGTTTATTTCAGTCTTTTCTTCATGAGGAGGCTGCTTTTCTATTTCTAGCAGAGTCAGTTTCTCATCATAGGCACCTCCAGAGACTAGATGTTTGTGTGTATTTTATCTTTGTTTTTGTTGTAACAGTGTAAAAATATATTATGCATGATGGAGGAAAACTGAAAGTATATGATAATGGACTTAGGACTGAGACCAAACTTGGTGTAATTCAGTGTTTTAGAAATACCGTCAAAATCGTCGAAGATGGCCACCCATTGTCGAGGAGAAGAGTGATTGTCTCAGACAAGATTGTCTTGGATAGGGTCTTGATAGAAAAAAACTCGAAAGGGGATGTGGAAAGTGGTTTCATTGTCTTGGAGAGGTGGCCATTAGAGTAGGTTCAACTGTATTTTGAATTGATTTTTTTGTAAGTGGTCTGTTTAATTTTTATATAACCCACTGCACCTGACTGACCCTTCCAGGTGACGGTACTAGATGCCATAGTGTGGCTTCGTTCTGCTTGGGAGGGCGTGTCACCGTCTTTTATCTCCAAGGCTTTCCTTCGATGTGGCCTGAACGGTGTTCAATTGGAAGTAACGGAAGGCACAGAAGCACCAGCCCAAGCTTCTGCGGAAGAGGACGGGAAAGCTCTGTTGCCAGATGGGGTTTCTTTCAACGATTTTGCAAAAATAGGTACAGCATACATATTAATTTGTACATGTTTGAATTTACTCTAAACAACAGCCATGGAACACCAAGCCCCAAAAATTTGTATGGTACCTAAAAATGAGGACTATTGTTTTCATATGAGTGTTTCAGTATTGTATAACATAATTGTATGGTAATAACAAAAATAATGATAATATTTTAAACTTATTATATACGTATGTTTTATAGCGTCGCAATAATTTTCAATAAAATAAAATACATAATTTGGCAGCTTACACAGTGACATAAAACATGCATGCATAGCAGACCATTACACAAAAAAGACAATCACTGTGGCTGCTGGTCACACTTGCTGTGGAAAGAAGAATCAATCTAGCTGGTAAAATAGGATTTAAATAAATACGTGTCTTAAGAATGAGTTTAAATGCAGTCAACGTAGGGCCTCTCCAAAAAAATGTTGTTTTCTGTATCTCCTGGTAAGGTTTTAGTTAATAATAATTTTTAATGATCCACATTACCATTTCACTCTGTTGATATCTTTCTTTTCAGTGCCGGTTTTTCTAAAAATGTGCCTAATTGCATTGATATTCTGTTACAGTTGATTTAAACAAACAAATATGTTAATTTGTCTTCGTGATTCAAATCTATTTCGTGTGTTTACATAGAACTTTGACTTTTATGGAATGAAAAAAAAATTGTCCTTAGCTAAAAAATTAATTTGTTAGGAGATAAAAAAATTTATCTAATGCTTTTAACATTTGTAGGCTACCTAATTTATATCTTTCCCTGCTTTTTTTTCAACATTAAACATTTTAGTTTTGACACAAAGTTTCTCAAGCTCATATAACCGATACCACATATTATAAGAAACTGATAAAAATTTTTATTAAAAATAATTTTGGGGCCTTGTGCATTTGAACAGCTGGCCGACGAATGAGCTTACGTTCCACAAGTGAAGCCAAAAACAGCAACTTTCCCTTGTGATAATTTTGTCACATACAGTGGATGGTTGGCTCTGGTGTGGTTTCAAATACAGTAGTCTCCACCTAAGATCCGGGTGCTTGGGAGCAAGGAAAAAATGCAGGATCTTAGGCGAACCGGGATCTTAACCGAATGGCCAGAGGGAAGAATCCACAGTAACTCATGGTGAGGCCCAACATCTGTACAATGATCTCCCCTTACTTTAAAATGAACTGGCGTAACCCCTGAGTACGAAAAGTTCTTTTCAGGAGTTAAATTTTCCCTTCTTTTTGTTTCGGGGAGGGGGTGGGGCTTTTAAAAAAATACAGTGTACTGTCGGGTGGGAACCAGTTGGCTTCAGGCAACGCACCAATCAAAAATGTATTGCTTTCCATCTCAGATGAAGTTCCCGGCTCATGTCATGATGCATCATAAATCATTGTGTTGTGACCACACTGACTAATTTAAAAAAAATAAAAGGCAGGTTCACTGCCAACAGATGACCACATTATGCAAAACCGATTAGACATTCCACGAGTATGGGCGCCTGTCTGCCTAGGAAGTTTGAGCGCAAAACTGAAAGACGAGAACGATGATTGCAGTCTGATGCTTGCTTGTAGGCCCTCCCCACTTAGTATGTGATGTAAGATTAGGCGGACGGCTCAGATGATCCAGGAAAGCAACGCGTCAACGAGTTCACACCTTGGTGCGATCCTGTCTGGGGCAAACATTGTAACCGCTTATCGAGATTTACAACAGAGGTGTGATCACATTCATGAGAGTAGATAATCCATGACGTGACGCATTTTTTTGCTACTTGGTTAATCAGCTGAGGGCGCCCAGGTTTCTTATTCTTTTTTTTTTTTTAAAAGAAAACAAACAACTAAATTGTTACCTGAAAAGCGGGATCTTTGCCAAATGTAACTCCTTCAGTGCGGGTCAGAGCGTGATCCTAGGGATGACTTTTTTATATGTAGTAAAAATTCTGTTTTACAAAACAGCAGGATCTTAGGCGAACCGGGACCATAAGTAGTGGAATCTTAGGCGGAGACTACTGTATCAGTCATCTTTATTTATCCTCCTATTTTCTTTGTATGTTACTGTCTAATAACATCTCTAATTTTCAGCAGTTGTATAACCTAATTTTGTTGCAAGTGCTGCAAAATACATACTAAAACTTTAAAAAAGGAAACACGCGCTTCTAACTTGTGCCACCACGTATTCTATAGATGATCATCTTTCCCTTGCGGTAAAATTCTCACATACTCTCAGACCATGCTTGCAGCTGAGTTGCTAGACCCAAGAACAATGAAAACTGCTCTCGTTGTCACTTTACATTCACTACTGCCACCATGTAGTGTACAGGAGACCATGTTTCCTTTTTGATAAAATTGCTAATGTTCAGACCTTACTTGCAACAGAGTAAAAGTGAAAATGATAATTGCTCTCATTTTCTCTCTAATCTTACTTGTGCCACCATGTATTTTACAGATGATCCCTTGTGGGTGGTTTGAGGGTGCTCTGGTGTTGTTTGCTCTTTTTTCCCATCAAACACCTATCATCCCTATCTCTGTCCTCTTTCTTTTTTGTGTTTGTTACTCTCTTGTAACACATCTAATCTTCGGCACTTATATATGGCTTTATTGTGTAGCAAGTGCCGTAAAACTCTTAAGAAAATTAAACAGATGATCACTGATACCATTATTTTTTCTGCAGATGATCATCTGACCACTTTTGACCCATCAGAGGGTGAAGGGAGGGAAGGAGAGTCTGTGGTGGAAGCAGAGGAAGATGTTCCACAGGAAACAGAGGAGTCCCAACCATCTCATGTGTCCTGGGACAGGGCCATGAAGTGCCTGGAGAAGGTTCAACTCTGTGCCTTCCAGAACAGCAACCCAACTCTGTTGCATCATGTGAGGGAAGCGGAGTACTGTTTGATGTCTCAGCGTAGAGAAACGGAGGGTGATGTGTAAACACTTGTAAAGAGAGACAGTCGTACAGTGGAACTCGGATTCAACGAGCTCGGATTCAATGAGAACTCGGATTGAACGAGATGAGATAGGCTCCCCGTTTTTTTTCTTCTTTAAAATCAATAAAAATAACCCGGATTGAATGAGCAATTAAATCAGTGAGCTCGGATTCAACGAGGTCGCTTCCAGGGTGAACAGCCCCCGCAGACGCGGCTTCACTCATTTTTCTCCCAGAACGAACTTTATCTATTCTCGGAAACCATCCATTGCACATGCATCGTGAACCATTATTCACTTACCCGATTGCATGGGACCAATCAGCGGCCTCTATTCATGCCAACACATGCGTTGTTGACACGCGCACGTGTCTACTCTGGTGTGTGTCGGGGTCAGATGGGCAGCCTGCACACGTACGGCTGTGTGTGCGTGTCGGGGGGGGGGGGGGGGGGGGGTGGCACTAGCAGTCTGGGCGTTGGACGCCACAGATACAAACGCGTCAGTCTTTTTCCCCCCTCGGCAACAGATCACTATTACGATGATAAGCTAATCTTGACATAGATCTACATAATGAATTGTACGCTGGTCTATGGAATCAAAAGTTGCCGAATGCTTGGCTCTACACAGCAACACAACTTTTTGTTAAACAATCGAGATGACTCAGGCGTGTGCATTTGAACGAATCAGGTCTTTTTTTACACGGCTCATAATAAGCAGGCATATCAGGCACTACTTGTGACTTCTCTTTATATACATTACTTGCTTAGTGCCTGTAATTATCTACACAAACCTCATGATTGCTATAACGAACACTCGGATTCAACGAGATTTTAGGTCAGGCCCGGTGACCTCGTTGAATCCGAGTTCCACTGTAGTATTGTTCTTCAAAATGCTCTTTGCTTGTATATTTGAACTGTTGAACTGTACATTGTTGTTATCTTCATCTTTTTAAAGGTTATTTTCATCATTGAAGTTTGGTGGTAATAATATGCATGATTTTAACTTTAAGTAGGTCATTCATTGGTGTGAATGGAGAATCCAGCCTTTGAATTTACAGTCACATCCCAATATACTGCCTCTGAATTATACCTCCAGCTCAGCCAGGTTTTGCCAGTGCATGAAAAGAAACACCTATATGAACATACTGTTTATTTGTCCCTATCGCCATCCGCCAACAGCATCAATTGTATTGTCCTTTCTAAATACTAAACAAATGTAAATTTACCACAAAAGTTACCACGATTAACCTTGGCAGTAGTGGAAAGAGAAGCCATGCTATTTAATGTCTGTTTAATTCTGTAGTTGAGCCCCTTGATCCATTGGTCATGGTGTAGTTTTTTGGGGGGGGGTTTGGGAGGTGAGTCATAACAGATTGTCCAGCCTCTAAATGGAAAACCATGCATTTCAAAGGGTTCTGGTTTTTAAAGAGGGCATACTAGATATTCACAAAAGTGACTTAGACTTAGAGTACTAAGATCCTAATTATTCTTTTCAGAAGGGTTAAAAAAAGGTACCCTTGAGGTGCTTCATGCATTTCCTCAACCAGTGGCTCAAGCTATTCCGAGTTTATTCTTGCTCGTAATTCAAATAATCATACAAACAAAAGTACTGTAGAACTCGGATTCAACGAGAACTCGGATTCAACGAAATGAGATAGATTCCCCATTTTTTGTCTTCTTTAAACTCAATAAAAATATCCCGGATTCTACGAGCACTTAAATCAGCGAGTTCGGATTCAACGAGGTCGCTTCCAGGGTGAACAGCCCCCACAGACGTGGCTTCGCTCATTTTTCTTCCAGAACGAACTTTATCTATTCCCGGAAACTATCCATTGCACCTGCATCGTGAACCATTATTCACTTACCCGATTGCATACGACCAATCAGCGGCCTTTTTTCATACAAACACATGCGTTCTTGTCACGCGCACGTGTCTTCTCTGGCGTGTGTCGGGTATGCTAGGCTCTAAACTGCAACACAATTTTTTGGTAAACAATTGAGATGACACAGGTGTATGCATTTGAACGAATAGGTCTTTTTTTTTTTTACATAGCTCCTAATAGTAATATGCAGGCATTTCAGGCACTACTTGTGACTTCTCTTTATACATTACTTGCTCAGTGCGGTAATTATCTACACAAAACCTCGTGATTGCTATAACGAACACTCGGATTCAACGAGATTTCAGGTTTGGCCCGGCGACCTCGTTGAATCTGGGTTCCACTGTATCACACCTATTGTAAATCTGTTTTCATTTCAATAAAATACAAGATAAAAATGATAAAATTTGAAAATTATAAGTGTCTACTTTGACTTTGAATAATTATCCAACAATGAATGTTGTAAAAAAACCACCATTGAAATACCAACAGACAGGGTTAAATCGGGATTTCAACCCCTAGCAGTCAGTGAGTTAATCCTTGAGCTAGTGCTTGTCACTGAATTGTTCCCTCTCGCCCATTCCACTTTTCCACCCTTGTCTTGTCTTTCGGGCAGTATGTTTTTGACAAGAAGCCTCTGGTCCAGCAGTTCATTTAACTTTTGATTTGAACTTACGTGGTCATGACGTAACATTCAGCTCGAGCTGTGCTTGGTTGAAGAATATTAGTGGTACAAGATCTAGATGAAGCAAGATTGGCCACAGTTTGTGTCTTTACCACATGTTATAGTCAAGAAAGCAGAAAAGTGTTTAGGCTTGACTGCTCAGGAAAAGCAAGAAATTATCAAATGTGAGGCAGCGTGGTGGAATCAGGTTCTCGTCTATTTTTGGGCATGTAGAGTTATTGGTATAATCTTAAAGTTTAAAGCTAGTTCACTTGTCTTTATTTGGATGTAAAAAATATCCATTTATCTTAAATGCAAGTCAAGATATTTGCGAATGAAGGAGATGGGGGTCACCTGTTTTCAGAGGTAAAATTAGTGAGAAATGGCCGCCAAAGATTAAAGTCCGTGGTAACTGAAAATTTACATTTTTTGTGCCTTTAATCGATGTTTTTCAGAAAAATCCACTCAGAAATGAGTTCTTTAATGGGCATGAGAGGTGTTGAGCCAAAAAAGAAAATTTTATAAAAATTCACAAACCTGCGGAAAAATGCAAGTTTCTTTGACGAGCGCCTGATTCCACCACGCTGCCTCACAAATATTTGAAAGCATACCCTTCAAAGCCACAACAGTAAATCGCTTTCCATTTCTATGCAGCTTTGCACTAGGCAATGAAAGCCTCTTAACTTGTACATGTAATGAATGTTGCCCTTTATGATCTAGTCGTTCTTTAATCATTTCCTTTGACGGTGAGCAGTCGGTGCTAGTTTACGACCCCCTTATATCGTCAGGCTCACAACACTACCGACTTCATGCTCGTCTCAAGGCAATCGGTAAACGGGTTTGATTGTACTAGATTTTTTGTATTGTTAAATAAAGATTCTCTGTTTTTAATGTTGAGATTGATGTAAGATAAAATCGACCGCTCAGTTTAACTTTTTAACCATGCAATTTAAAATCATGTTTCCGCGTAATTCTCTCGTGTTTGTAGAAATGCGACCCGACATATTTTGTTTTTAAAACCGCTTGTTTTGTGTCAAACTGATCAATAAAGCATTACTCAAACATAGAATTCATTTATCTTTGACTTCCGGGTCAAACTAAAGACTTGTTGACTTGTACTTTTTTATATTCGCCCCGTACCATAATACAGTAATGACTTCGCACCAGATGGTGGTACCGTCCAGCCATGGTTACGGACCTCGACTAACGGACGCTGCCACCGTCCAGACATGGTTAAAGAGTTAAGACTCTGTCGTACATCACTTTTCAGAATGGTGTATGGCAAAGTCTTACATAGCACAGTCAACACTAAGCAGACAAAATACTTTTTACCTACTGGTAATTAATAGTTCCAAAGCAATTGGATTGTTTTGAATTTTCTGAAGTTTATATGGAATTTCGTAGAACAACAGTGTGTGTGAGAGCGTACCTGTGAAAGTGTTTACTGTATAAATTGTAAAAGGTATTACTTATATTGTAAAAGTTTAAAATGTGTATAAAAAGGATAAAATTTTAATTCCACAGTTCCTTTCTCTTTTGTGATGTTTGGAATTTGAATTTTGTTTTGTTTAGCACTCCCGACTAGAAGAAAAGATATGATAATGTTGGTTTTGTTTTGTTTTGTTTTAGTAGTAGTATGACCTTATGCAGTTGCGAGCGCCATAAAACCTCTTCTAAAACTTTTTTAAAAAAGCAACAGCATAAGGTCATATGAGCGCCAAGGGGTGGATGTCAACAAAGAAGTCCTTACAGGGAATCAGACTTACTCTGCTCACCTCTCTAGCTTCAACAGCACAAAGTCTACTTCGACTATCAAGGCATCCCAGAAAAAGCGGGTCACAAGAGTGTGACAAATATACAGTCCATGCCGGCTTTAAGCACTGTCATCGGGAGACAGCTTAAGCGTGCTTAATGCTGAAGCGTGCTTGAGTGCGAGGTAGACATAATCCAGAGATTTTCATGTAGAAAATGTCCCCTGCTATTTCCCTTTGTTTATAAGTAGATCTAGGTCTTGGTCCCGCAAAAGTGTGCACTGTTATTTGTACCCACCATGGTAGTTTTTGTTTGCTTGTTTGTTTTTGTTTTGTGGTCGAATAGGAAATGAAAACTTAATTTAGACGGCCAGTAACGATACAGCACACTAGGCCTACACATTGCTGGTGCGTACCACTGCCCACTGTGCCACATTCACACTACCGCCTTCATCCCACATCATGCGTGATACATAATCAGGATTAATGGATAGCAAGGGTTAAAGGTGAAATCGCAGCCAGCCTCCATTTCTTGTCTTCCTGACTCTCTTTGTATTTTTTTTGTCTGTGTGTAGCTTTGCCCTAGGCTAGATCCTATGTCTACGTTCGCGGCTGTGTGCATCTCTCTGCCTTCCTCTCCGCCTGTGCGAGTGTGTGTCTCCATCACTTGCGTTCTTTGTGTTTCTCTTAACACACTCACTGCTGCGGTGTAGACTGTGTTTGAACTTCAATGGGTCATCATGAAAATATTGACTGTCTTGTAAATGAAGCGTGCCTGAAGCCGAAGTTACCGTGCCTAAAGGCGTAGCAAAAATTCGGTAAGAGCCGTTTTGCGTGCTTGAGTCCGAAATGTGCTTTATGCGGGCGTGCTTAAAGCCGGCACGGACTGTACAAAAGAAGTAGAGGAAAATGATGATAGTAAGGATTAGGAAAGAAAAA